TTTTTTTTCATGGAAAGAACGATTTATAGGGCTGGGATTACTTCGCCTCCGAGCAACATCTGGAAAAGATCCCAGATGTTATCCCGTCAAAACACCGGGAAGGGGAGCCAGGAATAAATCCCGGCTGTCGGAACGGGGATCCCACACACGGAGGAAATCCGGGATTTGGGATTCGGAGCCCATTTCCCCATGGGGATTTGGGATTCGGAGCCCATTTCCCCATCGGGATTTGGGATTCAGAGCCCATTTCCCCATCGGGATTTGGGATATGGAGCCGATTTCCCCACTGGGATTTGGGATTTGGAGCCCATTTTCCCATGGGGATTTGGGATTCGGAGCCCATTTCCCCATTGGGATTCGGAGCTGATTTCCCATTGGGATTTGGGATTCAGAGCAGATTTCCCCATTGGGATTTGGGATTCAGAGCAGATTTCCCCATGGGGATTTGGGATTCAGAGCTGATTTCCCCATTGGGATTTGGGATTCGGAGCCCATTTTCCCATGGGGATTTGGGATATGGAGCCGATTTCCCCACTGGGATTTGGGATTTGGAGCTGATTTCCCCATGGGGATTTGGGATCCAGAGCTGATTTCTCCATTTGGATTATTTGGGATTCAGAGCTCATTTCCCCATCAGGATTTGGAGCCAATTTCTCCATTGGGATTTGGGATTTGGAGCTGATTTCCCCATGGGGATTATTTGGGATTCTGAGCTGATTTCCCCATCGGGATTTGGGATTTGGAGCCGATTTCTCCATTGGGATTTGGAGCTGATTTCCCCATTGGGATTTGGGATTTGGAGCTGATTTTCCCATCAGGATTTGGGATTTGGAGCTCATTTCCCCATGGGGATTTGGGATTCGGAGCTCATTTCCCCATGGGGATTTGTCCCGTTCCCTCTGGAATTTTGTGGGGTGGGAGAATCCCAAAGATTCCAGGGCTGCCAGCGATGCCTCTGGAACGCCGGAAATTTGGGAATAACCACGAGAAATGGATCCCAAACATTGGAATTGGCCTGGAAAACATTCCCTTGGATCTGGGGAATCCTTGGATTCACGGCTGGGTGGGATGGGGCAATCCCAGGGATTTTCCAACCTCTGCCATTCCATGATTCCATAAGAACCGTGATCATTTTAAATCTGATTTTCCCTGGAATTTTTTTCCCTGTGTTTCCCAAATTTTCCCTGCTTTCCTCCCCTCTGGAAATCCCTGGAATTTCCCTGGGTTTGGGACCATTTTGGGTGCAGATTTTGGGTGTCCAGTGACCAAATTTAGGACTTTTTGGAGGAGATTTTAGGAATTTATTTTTTTTTTGCCATTTAAGGGCAGATTTCTTCAGGAATTCCTTTCCAATTTCTTTTCCCAGAAAGGATCCACGATCCCATTGGAAAAAAAACCAAAACCAACAACAAGGAAGGGGCACAAAACTGAATTCCTGATGGAAAATCCGTGAGTTTTCCCAAAAAATCCCCCAGAGGAGCTGGAAATTTCCCTGTTTCCCCAGGGAAAAGTGGGACAAGGAATGGGAAGGACAAAATTCCAGGGAAAAAAAAAACCCCAAAGCTGGAATGCTGGAAAGAGTTTACCTGGAATTAATTAATGACTAATTAAGGAAAGCTCGGGAAATCTGGGAATAGGGTGGGAATCCCATTGCTCCACTATCCCATGAATTCCATAAATCCCACAAACACCATCCCATGCCATGGATCCCATCAATCCCATAAATCCCATTATCCCATGGATCACATCCCAGTATCCCACAAACACCATCAATCCCACAAATCCCATCCCATTATCCCCTTATCCCATAAATCTCATAAATCCCATCCTATTCCCTCCATCCCATTA